TAAAAACCTTTTTCATATTTTGTAATACTAACCAAAGTTCTTTTTTGTTATCTTTTGCATCTTTTATTATTGCATTAATAATATATTTTGGCTTCTCTGTTGATCTGCCTAGCAATCTTGCAAAATTGGATTCTTTTAATATATTTTTCTTACAAAATATTTGCATTAATTTTTTAGTAAATATTTTGGTTATACATTTTTATAAAGTTTTTAGCAATGCTATTAGTCTTACATTGCTTAAATTATATTGCCAATCTAAGTTTTTTAGTATTGAGTAAATTTGTAATATTTTCTATTTTCTGAGTATTAATTTAGTTTTGATATATATTTCTAACAGCCTTCTAAAGATTTTTTGGATCTAATTATTAGCTGCTTTAATTAGTAAATAGGTAATTTCTAACATATCTAAACTGTATTATTTTTAAGTTCTGATAACATTTTTAGTCATTTTTCTTCTATAATGTCCTAATTTAGCTGTTCATACCAAATTTTATCAATTTTCTTTTTTGACTAGTATATTTTATCTTACTTATTTTTAATCTTATAACTTTGAAAGTTCATATTTAAATTGTTACTAGAAATGCTTTTTGGTCTTTTTAAGCACTTCTTGTAGATTTGTTATTGGCTTTTTATTCAAGTCTTCAAGCTCAACAAGTCTGTCTATTCTTATTTTATTTAATAATTTGTCTAATAAACTTGTTAACATTCTTTCTTGTTTATCATTAATCATTTAACAACTTCTTTCAATATTTTGCTCTATTTCTTTTAATCTTTGGTTTTCTATCTCTTTTACTTTTTTTTTTATATAAAATCTTCTACCAATCAAGTATACCTAAAATTATTTCTTATGTCCATATCTCTGAAATTTTTTCTATGCTTGTTCTATATTACTTGTTTATATATTCTGTTATAATATTAAAATTTTTATATTTTCCAAGATCAAACCTAGTTTAACATTTTTTTTCTAAGCTAATCTATCTTTCTAAATGTAATAATGCTTTAGTTAGCTCAACTTTATTTGCTTTATTATTTTTTTGTTCTCAGTAGTATTTAGAACTTTTTTCTTTGATATTGTCTTTCTTGCTGCTTCTAATATACTTTTACTTATAACTTCATATATTTTATCTAAGTCTTCTTTAAACTTCTCTATATGTTTTAACCTACTTTTTTTTATTCTTTACTAGATTTTTATTTTTAAGTATCCTGTCTAACTTTTTTCTATATTTTTCACAATTCTTTTTTGCTACTTTTTTATATAAAAAAATTGTTTGATATTGTTCAACTTCTTAAGTTTTGACACTCTATACCATGTAGTTATATAATTTAATTCTAATCATACAAATGCTATACCATGATCACTATTTATGCAATTAGATATATCTTGAATCTCTGCATTAATGAATTTATTTGTGAGCTCTTTTGTTATTCAGATTTGATAAATTCTTGTACTGAATTCTTCATTTGTTTATAAAAATTTCTTATTTTTTGAATTTTCTATTCTGAAAGAATCCTTGAAATTCTGATCAATTAGCTATTTTAGAATCAATTCTTTTTTTAAAAAAGCTGTAATTTGGAACTAAATATTATATATCATAATATTAATAAAATAAAAAATAATAGTCACAAAATAAAATTGATATATGAATAGGTTTTGAATAATAAGAATGATATACAAGATCTGAAAGAAACAAATATTAGCAAAAGAAGATTTTTCATTTTAAAAAATATAGAAGTTTCTGGTCAGATTCAAACATACATCAAAAAAGAAAGACTTAGGAGTTAAAATATTAGTAGAAAAAAGATAAAAAAGATATTTTAATTAAATAGATAAGGTTAATGAATATATGATAGTAGTAAACTTTATATTCAAGCAACTGAAATTCATGATTATAATGATATATATGTTACCTAATAACAAAGAAGAACAGAGAAGAATTCAAAAGACAATCATAGAAAAATATATTAAAAGAACTTATCAAACACAAATAATAATTATAAATAACTTAAACTGCATTGTTGATTTAGAGCTAAACAGATTTAGTATTTTAAAATACAATGCTTCTTTGTATATTAATTCTTGACAGAAAGAATTTTTTTACTATTTTCTAATATTTTTGAAGTATCTATTCTCTCTGAACTCTGGTTCTTTGATTTAACTAAGATATTTTTTAGAAACTATAGATAATATTTACCTGCCTATTGTCTAAACTATTAAGCTTTTTTAATATTTCTTACAATATGTTTTAATGCTCTTCAATTTGTTACATAATTAATATTTTTTCTTTTTGTTCTATATTGCTTCTTGTTCCTTTTTTTTGTTTCTTTTTCTTTTTTGTATTTATTTTAAATTTAATTACCTTTGACTTTTTATTTCCAAAATTATAGATGTCTTGAAAAAAACTTACTTTTCTTTTTTATTTTTTATTATAATACTCTTCAGTATTTTCTTAGTTGATTTACTTCTTTTTTTTTAATACTTATTTTCTTTCATATCAAGACAACTTATTATAATAATAAAAAACATTTTTTTCTTTTATCTTTTGGCAATTTTTTTCAGATTCAAAGCATATAAAGACTATACTTCTTTTGTTATCATTACTATTGTTCAATATAAATAATGTTTTAACTCTTAAAAAGTCTTAGTTGTCTTAACAAAATTGACTAATACTAATTTTGAAATATCTTATAATGCTGCCTTGTGTTTTCTTTTTTTCTCAAATATTTTAGAATCAAATTTTTTTGATATAATTCTACACATTGATCCTTTTTCAAAATGCACTAACCAGCTTAATGTTAGAGAGTTTAGTTTTTGCTAGTTCCAATCTGTGATTTGTACTAATGCAGCTTTGAACAATCTACTTTTAATTATAAGTAATATAATAATTACAAATATAATTTTAAAAATATTGATAAAATATTAATATAACTGTTTTAAAAAAAATAAATTATAATATTTTCATTAATTAAATTAGTTATAATATTATATTTAAAGTTGTTATTTATTAAAATTAATACTTTAATATCTAAAATAGTAAAGTAATACCTAATTAGAATTATATAACAAAGATCTAATTTCAAAGCTTAATTTTAGTTAAATAATATTTTTGATATTTAAAATAATAATTCCAAATAAATTGCAACTTTATATTATATTATCTATTATAATAATTATATTTATAATTCAGTATTAATTTATTAAATAAAGCTAATTAATATATACTTAAATATTTTTAAAAAAATCAAATAAAAACTATACATTTAAAAATTTACATCTTGGCTTGTAACATATAATATTTATAATCCAAACCTATAAAAAATTTTTAAAATTTAATAAAATTTTATTACAAATAATATAACAATTATAATAATTAATCTGGTTTTATTTTTTTTTAAACCACGACACTTATTTATAACTAAATTACCAAATTTAAATTTTATTTACCTCAAAGCATAAACAAAGTAAATCAACTTTTTGTACTTCAAAATAAAAATTATTTATTCTAATATATTATAAAGTTCAAATTAACTATGCAAACATATTTATTTTATATAAACATATACACAAAATTATAGATGCAAAATATTAAAATAATGCAATATTAGTATTGTAACCACAAACTAGGTTAAAATATAATATATAAGCGGAAGTATTTAAATCTCATAGCTAGCATAAAGGTATTTATCTAAAGAACAACTTAAAGTTGTATTTTTCTCGAATTTTTTACCAATCTCTTGAATTCTTCTTTTGTATTAAAATCAAAATCATTATTTCGGATATCCAAAGAAGTTAAAGTGGCATTATTGCTAAGTGCTACTATTAACGCTTTCCCTCCTTCTAATCCAAGTTGACCATATCTAAGACCCAAAGAGGTCAGGGTAGTATTTTCATAAAGTGCGTTGGCTATTGCCTTTCCTCCTTCTGAACCCATTTTATTAAACGCAAGGTTCAAAGAAATTAAAGTAGTGTTTTTGCAAAGTGCCATTGCAAATAATTTTCCTTCCTCGGATCCAAATTCATTATCACGAAGATCCAAAAAAGCCAGAGAGGTGTTTCTGCAAAGTGTTTCTGCTAATGCTTTTCCTCCCACTGGTCCAAGCTCATTCCGTTTTAGATCTAAAGAAATTAGAGAGCCTAAGTTTCTACAAAGCGCTTCGGCTAATGCTTTTCCTACTTCTAATCCAAGTTCATTATACGAAATATTCAAAAATTTCAAGATAGTGTTCTTGCCAAGTGCATCTGCTAACGCTTTTCCTCCTATTGGACCAAGTTGATTTTCTTCAAGTTCCAATGAAGTCAAAGCGATGTTTTTACAGAGCGCCTTTGCTATTGCTTCCCCACCTTCTGATCCAAGATTATTATTACAAAGATTCAGAACGGTCAAAGTAGTGTTTTTATAAAGTGCATCTGCTATTGCTCTACCTCCATCTGATCCAAGGTGGTTACCACAAAGATTCAAAACAGTTATAGAAGTGTTGTTGCAAAGTGCATATGCTATCGCTTTTCCACCTTCTGATCTAAGTTTATTATTACAAAGGTTTAAATAAGTCAGCGTAGTGTTTCTGCAAAGCGCTTCTGCTAATGTCCACCCACCCTCTGATCTAAAATTATTATTATGAAAATTCAGAGAGGTTAAAACAGTATTCATGCATAGTGCCTTTGCTAATATTTTCCCTTCCTTTAATCCAAAGCTATTATTACGAAGATCCAATGATGTCGGTATAATGTTCCTGCAAAGTACTTCTGCTAACTCGTTTACTTCTTTTAAACCATCTTTAAGAACAACTTTCCAATTTGATACATTGTTCTGATAACTTGCATTAGGCCTCCTCCTGTCTTTTAGAATTTCTTCATAAAGATCTAATGCTTCGAGAAATTTGCCCTCCTTTATGCATTTATGCACTTCCTCTCTTTTATTCGCATGTAGATCCCTATTAAAGCGTGAAGACTTCGTGATTTCACTTTTTCCATGTGTCGCTCTCATTTTCTTATTCGCACGTACATTCCCACTAACAAATGAAGGTCCTGTGATTTCATTTGTTTTATGTGGCGTTTCTTCTCTTTTAATCGCATGTATATTCTTACTAAAAAGTGAAGATCCCATGATTTCATTTATTTCATGTGGCGATTCTTTCTTAATCGTATGCGTATTCCTACTAAAAAGCGAAGGTCTTGTGATTTCATTTCGTTCATGCGTCGTTTCTTCTCTCTTAATCGCATGTATATTCCTATTAAAAAGCGAGGATCCTGTGATTTCATGCGTCGTTTCTTCTCTCTTAATCGAATGTGCATTCATACTAAAAGGCGAAGACCCCGTGAATTCATTGATTTCACGAGGCGTTTCTTCTATCTTAATCGCATGTTTATTCATACTAAAAACTGAAGACCCTGTGATTTGATTGATTTCACGAGGTGTTTCTTCAATCTTAATTGTATGTGAAGATTCTGTGATTTCATTTGTTTCATGCGTCGCTTTCTTTTTCTTATTCGCACGTATATTCCTACTAACAAATAAAGATCCTGTAGCTTCATGTGGTGCTTCCTTTCTCTTATCCGTACGTATATTCTGGCTAAAAAGCGTAGATCCTGTGGTTACATGTGCTTCATGTGAATTATATCGTGAATTTACATTTATATTTCCTTGCTGTGTTGGGAAAGTGGTTTCAATAGGAAGATGCTGATTTAAAGTTTCGTTTGGAACAAACTTGTCTAAGGTTTCAAAAATTATTTTCGTTTCCGGACGAATGCTAGGATTTTCATTCCAGCATTGTTTATAAAGCTTAACATATTGAAGTGGTGAGCCTTCTATAGGATCTTCTCTATTTCCTCTTGATATGTGAAGAACAAGCGAACATTCCGATATAAACGATTGGAAAGGTGGTATACCACTTGAAATTTCCCAAAGAATCACACCGAAACTATATACGTCTGATTTCTTGTTATATATATATCTTTGGTCATTAAAAAATTGAGGATCTATATATGCAGGCATTCTACGAGCAACTGAGCTTGACAACCCAAAATCTGCAATCATTGGTTTTCCTTGATGAAATAATATATTCTTTGAATGCTATAAAAAAGATTTAACAAAGTATTAGTGAATAAAAAAAAAAACGCGTAAACGTGTAATATAAAATTTAACAACTTACAAGATTCTTATGAATAATACCATTCTCATGCAAGAACAAAAGACCTAGTGCTATTTCCCTAGCAATACGTAATTTATTTGTCCATTGCAGCATAAAAAAATTTTCTTTTAGGTATTCTCGTAAATGTCCATCAGAAGCATATTCAAAAATCATATTATAAAATCCGTTGTGGTCTATTTAATTAGAATAAATATTAATGAATTTATAGTATTATTTTATACAATATTCCTGAATTATAAACCATATACATACCTTTGGTGACACCATAAAATGAAATAATACTTTGATGGCAATCAACTTTTCGTAATAGTTTAAGCTTTTATTACATGAATTACAAGAACATTTAACATATAATAGATTAGGAACTAGATCAAGTTTTAATATAACACAATACCATGTTAATAAAATCTTTAATAATTTTTTCGTCTGAGTTTGTATCGACTTCGAGACGTTTAAGAGCAACTGTTAACTCGCAGTCTTCCCATTCGTATTTAAAAACTGATCCTAAACTTCCACTACCAATTTTCATACGGTTAGTAAACTTGTCATATCCAAGATAATTAATATGTCCACTGTAAATGGCTTTTTTGAGCCCTTCTTCTAAAGTATTTTCCATGGCTTTACTCTTTCGACCAAGTGTTGTATTAACGCGTGCGAATAATGTGTTTTTGTTTATCTCAGTCGATGTCGGAGATTTTCGGAAAGACAATAAATTAATGCTCTGTATGTAGACAAGCCACCAAAAAATTTTAGGGGGTCAGCTTAATATGTATGATACAGAACCCTAACCATAGATGATATTATAAAAGAGGGTTAGATCATAGTCGTTCATTAAGTAAAAACTGCCCAGCTGACGATTTTATTATAGCTCCTGCTAACTAGTATAGCTTTGAAAATCTTTAAACATGTCTTTAGCTCAGGAAACTGTGAATACAAAATCAGAAGCATATGAAAATATTAGTTCGAACTCAGATATTATTAGGAGCTATTGGAGACGCAGTTCAACCATACTTCTAAATATCTAACATTTACGAGAATGCACATCTTTAATGGATCGAGTCACAACTACAGAGGCGCTATTAAAATTTTCGAAAGGAGGAAAAAAATATAATGAAAAAAATTTACGTGATAAAAATTACTATAAAACCTTTTAAAATTCGGTAATGTGATGGAAAAGATAAAGTAATTTATTAATGAAGTATCAACCCTACCAGGTTTTAAAAGGATAATTTAATTTAATTCAGTTAAAGAAAAAGTTGAACCGCTTATTAATGAATTCGAAACTACCATGAATGATTTACGTTTTGCAATAACCCATTTTAATGACGAACAAAGAGATATCGACGCAATGGCTATTAAATCCGACCTAGAAAAAATGTTAAAGGCGAATTATCTGATAATTAATTATGGAATTTCAAGGAATTAATTCATGTCTAAATTATCTAGTTTTGGAAACAATTGGTGGTGGTGTCGTTAATTTTAACAAGGTTTTAAAAGAAGTATCAATCATTAAAAACCAATTGAGTTATCAAGATTCTATTAAGATTCTATTACTAAATATATCAAAGCTACCGAGGAATTAGAAGGTTCACCCCTAACTAACCCTAATTGTATCAAAAAGGTAATTCTAAATACATCAAAAACGTAACTTTTCAACACGGCTTTTAAGAACATGCGATAATATTTAGAAAAGAAAAACTTTTTAAGGTTACAATGGATTGATAAATTACAGATTGCTAAGGACGTAGCAAGTCTTAATTGTTTGTATAGAGTAAGTGCACAATACATTCACGATTATATTTATTTTTGTAAGCATATTAGAAACATTAAAAGCATGTTTTGAAATAAAATTTTAAAGAAATTATTTATAAATTCAAACTATAATTTTTGATATAGATATAATAAAAAATGTTAAAAAGGTTAATTTGTTTGGTTTCATCAAATGACGATTCTAATGTTGGGCAAAATTGGATATAATTCTGAAGAAAATTATTTAAAATATAAATCTCAAGCTATACTGACAAGAATTAAATTATTTTCTTATATTTAATAAAAATTAATTGAAAAACAAGATTCAGATTCTTTGTATTAAAGAATAATAAGTCCATGACAAGCGTGTCAATGGTTTTTTGAGTATAAGGTTGATTTTTTTTTTATTAAGCTATGGCCTTGCTTATATCTTTATTGGTAGTTTTAAAGTTAGTAACTACATTGAGTTACTAGGTACAAAAATAATTCTATATAAATGCTATAGCCGAGACCAACACTTGCAGTTAGGTTTAATTATTAAACTGCTAACTATATAACTAATTTAAGTACAAATAAAAAAAAAATTACATTTAAGAATAAAGCTTAGACATATTTATTTGTGTTCTAAACCTACTAGAGTGGTTAAAACTTATTTAAATTTGAATAGTTAAAATATAATTAAAAGAGATATTATATTTGATATAGAGAATAGTTCATATATTAATTTTTCTAATAATATAACTGATAGGTGGACATATGTTAGAGTTTAGATGTGCTTGATTAGATAGTTTATATAAACATGAATATGTATATGTTTGATAATTATATTTAGTTTGTTTATTATAATTGGGTTGAGTTAGATATTTAGAAAAAGAAGGTTTAAGATCTTGTTATTTTTTCCAATTTGAGAAGTTTATACAATATGGTTTTTAGAATAGTTCATGACATAACTTATTAATTTCAAAAAATATATATATATTTTTTCTCTTAAGCAGTCATGTTAGTATTTTATTAAGAATTTGAAATTACATTTACAATTACATAAATATCTTTAACAACTAAGTCTAGCATCATCTGATCATCTTAATAGTACCTAAGTGCAACCTGTTGCATTACTTTAAACAGAAGTAAACTACTTGTCTAACTACTTAAAGTATATAATGAAAAGATCTTTACTCTTTCATAATAAGTTCCACAATTGTCTTTTATATTTTTGTTCTAATTTGTTCTTTTTTTTTCTTATTTTTTCTTTTTTTTCTTCTATTTTTTGCTGATCTGTATTTTTTTCTTTATTTAATCTCAGTTTCTTTTTTTCTCTTCCTCTTTTTTAACCTATCTATTATTCCTATTTTTCTTTTCTATTCACTAATTTTCTTATAATAGACTTTCTATATTTGTTCATAAAATATATTCCAGGCTGTACTTACTATTATACTTGTAAACTACTGTTTTAACTTTATATTTAGGAGCTATCATAATCAATTTTGTATTTTTTTGGAATCAGGTCTTTAATTAGAGCCTCTCTTATTCTTACTTTTTCTGCTTCTGTTTTACTAAAGAGTACTGTATATAATATATATAAAGGGATTTAGACTTTTTCCATCTCTTTAAGTTTCTTTCAGGCTGTTGCAATAGTCACTTTTTGGATTCTTTTTTATAAGTTTTTTTGTCCTTTGTATGCTGCTAAATATATTTGTGTTTTTTTGACTTTATTTTTGCATACTTGGCATTTAGTTATTATATACATATCTGATCTTCTTTTGTTAAATTCTTCTAGAATCAGAAGTTTGTTTATCATATATTTTATAAATGCACTTCTTCTAGTACTAGTTCTTCTTGTTATATAGTGCACCTCTTTTATCATCTTTAGCCTTTTCAAAAATAGGTCTAATCATAAATTGTAACTTCTGATTCTGATTCTAATTCATTAATTGCTCTTGTTTCTCTTTATTCTGCTTCTAATTTTGTATTTGTTATTAACTTATATAGCAATCTTATTAGTATATTAGTTTATTTGTTTTTTTACTCTAAGCAGTACTCTGTTTTTTTGCAACTGATTTTTTTGACCTATATTATCTTCTTGCTTGTTGCTCTTTTTTTTTGTCCGGTTATCAGCTTTGTTATTTTATTTATCTTTATTGTGACTCTTTACTTTAACTAACTCTATTTGAATGTTTTTTGTTATAATAAGATCTTTGATTTTTATTATTCATATTGTGTTCTTCTTTTTAAAGATCTTGTTTTTATCTGTTTGTTTTAAACCTCTATTAATGTTTCTTATTGCCACATTGCTATCTGCATATATTTTACTTGCTTTCTTTTTGGTATTATTAATATTACTATCTATATTGCTATTAGCTTAACTATTATTAATGTTTGCCATCCTTCTAGGCCTATTGCTATTTTCTTTTCTGATCATTCTTGTGTTTCATTTATTTGGACCCATCTTATGCTTATTCTATTTTTAGTTACTGTATCTTCTTTGGCCTTTATGTTTACTATGCTGTCTGTATATACTTGTTCTTGTTTTTTATTATATTTCTTTTTAAGACTTCTATTATTTCTTAGTTGATGATTTCATTTAGCCTTTATTATTTAATAATTTCTATTTTTAACTTCTTTATTGTTTTGACCTCTTCAAGTTCTTGTTCTTCAGCTAATGATCTTTTTATCTTTACTGTTTCTGTTATCTAATCTATTGTTATATTAATTTTATTATTGCCTTTTTTTATTAATATATCTGGAATCATGCTAATTTTGTTGTTTATTCTGATTTACTGTTGGCAGCTATCTTCTATTCACTCTTTTGCTCTTGTACAGCTTTTGCATCTCTTTATTTCAACAGCTAACTCATTTTCTTTACTTTGTATTTGACAGTATTCTACTAATATTTTTTTTTTTAATTATTTTTCTTAACTGTCTATAGTTTTGTGTACCATATACTATTCATTCATTCATTTTCTTATTTTTTGATATACTCTTTTATTTAATTCATATTACCTGTATATTTTGCTTGTTTGTTCTTAAGTGTCTTTTGACTTCTTTATTTTCTAATTTACTAAGCACTTTTTGTTCTATTATTTTAAACCAATCTGCTTTTTTCTCTTTGCTTGACAGATCTTAGTAATTTTTTAACTATTGCTATGTAATTAATTTTTTTTCTTTTGTATTGAGCAGCTGGTTTAGATATACTAAACCTTCTTTATTTATTCTAGTTTTACTTTTTTTTCATAAATCAGTATTCATAAGCTTATTTATTTTAATGCTGTACTCAAACATTGTTCATAAATTGTCTTTTGTTTTTATATTTATTTTTAATTTTCTTGCTTTTAATATTGTTAAGCAAGCCAAGTTATTTCTCTAACCATCTGTGTTTTCTAGTATCTTCTCTATTTTTTATATGTTTTCTGTTAGACCTGCCCTTTGGCAGCCTTATGTTATTCTTAGTTTTGTTAACTATCCAAGTCTATCTTGTCTGTTTAATCTTTTTACTAACTTATCTACTTGTTTTATTATTATTTCTTATTGTAATGTTCTATAACTTTCAAGATTTTTGTGTTTCATTATGTTATTTTTTAGTGTTCTTTGTAAATTACTTTTTTGTTTTGTCAGACTTATTATTGGTTGATATATTTTACTTAAGCTTCTTTCTGACATTTTGTTAGTTGTAGCATGTAACTTAATTTTGATATTATAATTATATTGTTTATATATATAATTTGGCTCATTGTTATTTTTATTTTTATTTTTTTAATATTAAAGTCTCTGCCTTTGGAGATTAATATTTTTATTTAAGTATTTGGACATGGATGCCTCCAGAAGCTTCTATACATGGGAGGTTATAACTAGCCATATATGCAATTTGGTGCTTAATTTAAGTAGTCTGCCTATACATTACTATACAGGTTTTACACTAGGTGCTATACCTGCAAGCCAACTATAGATCTTGTTTATTTAAACCCTCTGCATATGTAATTCAACTTGTGATCACAGAAACATCTTTCAGGCTACATCCATTCAAAGTACCTGATGCTTTCAAGATCCTTAGGACTAGTTTATCCTTAACAAGAAACTTGCTAAAACCTTTCATGTCCTATATATAGCTGATCTAGTTTTATGCAATATGCTATAGTTATCTAACACTTGCAGTCACAGAGTTTACCTATTTAACCACTATGTTATACTATTTTTACTTTTGTAAAGTTTACTAGAATCTCAGTACCTATTATCATAATATCTTCTTTATTATTGCTTACTAACAGTTATTTAGAACTAATAGGACTCTCCCAACTTCCAATCTAGATAGCCTAGTATGGTATATTTTATATATTCTTTTCATTTGGTAATTCTGACAGTCTGGTTAGTTATATACTTCTCTACATATCTTGACATCCAGTTTATCTGCCTATCTCTTTGGGATGTTTTATAGGCTTTTATTAGTCTAACCATACTGTCAAAAGTTCATGCTATCTTTTTACTTAGAAATTTTCAAATAGGCTTTTGACTCTTTGATTTCTTAGTTTACTATATTTGATGGTCTTATTGTAAATTTGCACTAAAGTCTTATACAATATCAGTTATTAACATTTCTTGATATATATGTAATATTATACTTGG